TAAAAGAAGCTGCAGGGACTTCCAAGCAGAGCTTATTGGCAACACTGTGTAAAGACATCTAGTCCTTGTGCAAGGACATCATTGATACCATCCATCAGTGAGCTAGCATTGCTGATAGCAGGAAAAAAAAAGAAGCTAAATCTGTGCCTCCATGCTGTCTTTGATTAGCCACAGGAAAATAACTTCCCAAGCATGTTGAGTAGGTTTGTGACCCCTTCAGATCTGTTTGTGTTCTGCATCCTCCCAGGGCTTGGCAAAGTTACTTGGTGTGATCTGCAAATGGTCAGGGGCAGGAACTGTGTGCTCTGAGCAATCTGAGGGGAAAAGACCTTGAACTCACTGCATTGTACTTAGGAGGTGCCGACATAAATGACTGTGAAAAGTTCAGTGCTAACTTCATCCTTCTCTCTTAGTGAGTAGTACATGAATCATTGCAAAGATGGTTTCTTTGTATGGGGCGTATGTTCTGATGGGATCTCGTGTTTCTCTGCATGGTCAAAACACCCTTTGATGGGAAGGGGGTAAGCAAGAAAAAGTTCCTGCTGTCAGACTGGTGTGGAGTGGCCTCTGCTCGTGGCTTACCATATGCTTTCCTGGATTTAGGCAGCAGAGTTTGAGTGAATTTGGTGGAAGTTTGCCATAAGCAAGAGTAGTTAGTGGTCAGAATATGCGTAATTTTGTGTGTTATGTTGATGACAAACATAACTGGTGAAGCCACAGCCGGATGTTTGTTGGGTTCAGTAGGCTGAGTTGACTTTACCTTCTCTGTTGTTTTAAAGCTAGTCCAGGAAAACATTCAATTACATGGGAGATTTTTTTCAGAAGCACTTCAGGGATGTTCGAGCACCAGCTGTGCTGGAAGTGGACAGAACTTGTGTTTAGTATCTCCTCTGCGACCTCCTCGGAGACTTTCATTCTGGAAAAAGGTCCTTTTATGGCATCCTGCATCTGAGAGGGCACGTCATGGTTCTCCTTAAAACATCCAAGCCCCTAAGCCATTTGGCCTTAACAGCTGGATAAATTTGGTTACACAGTTTCCATAGTAAAGTTTCTCAGTTTGAATCTTGGAGTTCTGACTTTTGACGGTGAATGGTGGGAGACATCAGACAACAGCTGAAGAAAATACCATTTTGAATAGGGAGAGAAATTTTATAACACCAAACATCTGAAGAGACAAGAGGGGACTGGGTGCTTGTTGGGAGCCTTTGGGTAGAGCAGTAGGCTTGTGAAGAACATTGTGCATACGTGCTGAGCAACGGGACAGATTAGACACTTCATTCTGTTTCATATGATAACTCTGTTTTTAATTTTAAATAGTTTAAAGTCAAAAATAGAAACTAAATATGAAATGGAATATGGAGTACTATGTCTATCTCTGGAGCACCCAGCACAGGAAGGACATGGACCAGCTGGAGCAGGTCCAGAGGAGGCCACAAGAATGATCAAGGTGATGGAGCAACTCTCCTCTTGAAGACAGAGAAGCTGTGGATGTCCCCTCCCCTCCCTGGAAGGGTTCAAGGCCACGTTGGACGGGGCTTTGAGCAACCTGATCCAGTGGAAGGTGTCCCTGCCCATGGCAGGGGGGTTGGAACTAGGTGATCTTTAAGGTCCCTTCCAACCCAAACCATTCTATGGTGAAATGAAGTCTGGAGGTGCCCCCTGCATAGTATGTGTTTTAGCTATGAGAAAGAGAGCTGCTGTAAAGGTCTTGAAAGCATGCCTTCCCTGGGGCTAGTGCAGCTAAAGAAACTCCACTCCCTCTTGATATGCAAAAAAATTCTTAGAAGTTATGAAGCCAAGGCTGGGTTGTTGATTTTTAAAACTAGCAACTTTGAAACAGAAACTTACTTTGCTTTTACATGAGGAAGCTCTGTTTTGCTGTGTGGGTGGGGGGGTGGGGTGTGTGCTGCTCAGAATAGGTACATTTCTCTTTCCGTGTTTTTCTGTTATGGTAGTCTCTGTCTAGCTTGAGGCTGATTCCGCAAGATTTAGTATGAAGATAGTCCTATGGAATTAAGAGTCAGTTGGGAACTGTATGCTTGCTGAAGACAGCCAATTTCTAAAAACATTTAGAGAAGTACTTTTGGGGAAAAAAAAAAAAAAAAGTATTTGGTTTGAAGGTTATGCTTTGAATGCTACTGGCACACGTGCAGGACTGCATGCTGGTTTACGATCACCCTGAAAATTAGTGAGGGAACTTCTAGCTTCAACATTAAAGCTTACTTAGTATTTTTTAGTAGTTTGGAGTATTGTAACATTACTGGTGTTTGCATTAAGGGTTCTATTTTAGCTATACCTCTGAAGAAACGTATTTGTCCAGCATGTGAAATACTATGCAGTAGTAAAGAAAAATATGCCATCTGTGTTTTACGGCTGATCATCTGTTTTCAGCTTGACTAGTTTTTTGCTGAGTTGCCTGAGGCAAGACACACTCAGCGTGAATTAACTGAAGCAGACTTTGAAATCTTGAGAATTTCCATGATCGTTCTGAAAGATTCTTGTAAGCTCTTGAAAATATTTGGAAAAATAACTTGACACTTCTTTTGCAATTAAACGCACAGTTGTCAGTCTCTGTGCCTAGTAGCTTGCTTTGTATAATCGCTATGGGGATTCATGCATCTACCCTTGTTTGAGAAGGAAAGGGTGAGTCTTGCTTAAAAAAAATAAAAAAAAAAGACCCGGACAGCCTAAGTACTCTGTACCCTGCTTAAGAGACTGTGTGCAACTTCTTGCTGTTAGCTTATCAAAGCAGGATGGAGCTGCCAGGGAGATCCCGTGTCTTACAGCTGCCTCGTACCAGTAGAGACGTTGGTGTGGTCACATACTGGGCCGGAGAGACCTGCATCTGCTGGCGACCTCCTGGGCCGTTGCCAAGAACCATTAATAATCCAGAGGCAAAGAAGTAATTTGTTTGTTTTCCGCCCTCCTGGTTGTACTGGCCACTGGCTCAAAGCCTAAGCTACCTCGCTAGAAAATGTAGTGATTTCTCCTGCACACTTTAGCTGTTTCTCGCAGAAGTGGTCTCTGAGCTCTCATCCCCTCCGCCACCATCCCGTAGGCACATGCTCCCTGTGGTCTCTGTGTGCAAATAAACATATTTTCCCTTCCCAGCATGTGGTTTCTCTTTTCCCTAATTGTTGTGATCAAAATATCACCTAGGCTAACAGTTTGTCTCCCTCTGCTCTTTGGGAATAGTGGGATGAGAGTTCTTGCAATAATGTTGTGCTCCCCGGGGTGGCAAGCCCCCTGCCCTGCTGAGTCTGCAGGGGCTCACAAGAGGCTTTGCCTTTCTTGAAGAGACTTATCTTGAAATACTGGAATTAATGAAGAGTCAACATTTATTTGAATTAAATAAAGCACAGTTGAAGCCAAAATGCTGAAAACTGGAGTTTCCATAGCCAGTGAGGGGGAGAAAATGGCCTCAGCCTGAGAAGCAGGCTGAAAAGAGACAAGGCAGTGGCTGCCAGTACATAACCTCCAACACTGCAGTTTTCCACGTTCAGGCTCATCTGCAAAACCGCAGAAAAATTGAACACAATATTCATTACTATTTAGGCTTCCTGCGCCCCTCCCTTCCTGGGATTCAGTACTGAAGCTTAAACCAAAATCTTTATGAATAAGCAAAAAAAAAAAAAAAAGTAAAAATACACAAGCACACACAGCTGAGGTACTGTAAGGAGTTTTGTTGGAGTTTTTATTCAGTAGCAGCTTTGGTACTTTACCTAACCTTCATTTAGTCAGAAGGTTCTGCATTGTGGCCTAAAATCTGACCTAGAAAAAAAATATTAGCTTCCTTTGGTCTTTGCTGGATATTTTGCTGTGGGAATGGGAATTCACTTTATTACTTTTTCTCTAATGGAGAGCCTGGCACTGCTGTGGAAGGAAATTTCTGTTTCTCTGCTGAGACCATGCTGTATAACCAGGGTCTCAGAATAGCTTTCATCCTTGACAGAACTAAAGATATGTGTTTGCTTTGAATCCAGGAGTAGACTAATTGCACATGGAATTTGCAGGCAATTTGTTGGACTTACTGATCAGTTGACTGAAATATTGATGAGTATCTGCTGCATGTGTTTCATTGCTGCCTAATGGAAGGATTAGAAAGCTCATGTTCATCATCTTGAAAGCGTGTTCGCCCTGTCATACCCAAGCACAAGGTAGTAAGGTTTTGTGCAAAGCATCTCTGGGTACTGGAGAATGAGAGATGGGATTTTAAGCTCTATTCTAGTTACGGTTTACATGCTGAAACAGTCGCATGTTTTCTGCAGTCGCATGGTTCTTAAACATGGTGTCTTTATCTAAAAATGTGCTTCTGCCTTCCTATGCATTAGCCCTATCATTTTTCTTTCTGGGAAAAGCGCAGAACCTGTTTCCCCCTACCCTTGCTCCTTTGTACCACCACCTTGCATCTGTGCAGTCCTTGGGTCTGTCTTCCTTTGCCTGACTTCCGTGGCTTTCTGTGACAACATCGGGATGGATGTTTGCCTTCGTTCTGGTCGAATCCAGTGCCCCTCTTTCAGTGGTGATAGTAGCCCTTTAGTTCCCTGGGCTTTGGTGCAAAATACCTTATAGTTTGTGCTTAATAGTTTTGTATCGTTCTTGTGGTTCTGAAGTTATTCTGGAAATAATTTAGAATAAATCTACTTCCGTCAAATCCCCTCCCTGAAATTACAGGCATCTAATACCATTTTGATGGCCCTGACATCCACATTGCACAGACAGGTAAGATGTATGACCAGCGGGAGAGCTTTACCCTTATAGAGTGGCCTCTGAAGGGAAGACAGGCTGTCATATGCTTGTAGTGTCACTTCTGATGTCCCAAGTTTGGACAAGGGAGTGTCATCTGTAATGTTGTGCTGAAGTCACAAGCTATTTGGGGGTAGCTTTATTGCATGTACATCTTATTTTTACGCATTCATACAGAAACAACTGAGACTTGTTCAGAATCACAGTAATAAGAAATGATTGTACAACGTGTTTTCTAATTTTTTTGTCTGCAGGTCCAGCAAGAACAAAGAAACCACACCGCAGAACCTGTAATAGATGACTATAAAAAGATGGGGACTCTCTTTGGTGAACTAAACAAAAGCCTTATCAGAATAGGCTTCACGAGGATGTACTTTGGAGAACGGATAGTAGAACCTGTAATAATTATATTCTTCTGGGTTATGCTCTGGTTTCTTGGCCTACAAGCTCTTGGACTGGTTGCTGTTCTGTGCCTTGTCATTATTTATGTACAACAGTAGAATTTTTATAGATGCTGTCCGGATGATGTATTTCAACACTGTCACTATGTCAGTGGATTTAAGTAAATGGGTGACACATGAAAAGCTGCAATGCTTTGAATTGCATTTTGCTGAACTTCCAACATTTGGGGTGATGGAGGACTAAAATGACATATTTTAAGCAAAGTCAGCAGTGCCCTATGACATCTTTGAAGGGCAAAAAAGATGATGTTTATAATGTAATGGTTTCCAATGTACTATTTTCTGCACTCTCGGGGCCTTAGTCTAAGGATTGGCTTTTTGTTCCCCCACCCTCACTCAATGTACTTGCTTTGTATAGTGAAAATTTCCTGTCTGGTTTTAAGAGGACGCTTGATGTGTTTGTCCTGTTTCACTGGGGGAGTGTGTATGTGTACAGTTTGTTCCCTGAATCTGCATAATTTTCTAGTTTTTTGCTGAAAAGTTAAATCTGCACAAGGGAGGTTTGCTAACAAACCTACAATGACAAATGTTCATAAGGTGAATACAACTTCTCAACACAAAAGCATCTTTGGTTAGTATCGTTTATAGCAAGCTTTCCCCCAGGAAACAAGGTATACCAGCAAAATGCTTTTATACTAATATTAGTGATTTCACACAAGGCTTCAGCTATTTTTTAGGAGGAATTGCAGTCCTGTATTGGCCAAATGGTCTTAACATACATAGCTCTGCCTTGGTTTTGGAAGTGTACTTGGCTCCTGCTCGTATTTTTCTTTCTTTCCTTTTTTTTTTTACTTACTCTTTCCCCCAGCCCTCCTTCTGAAGATAAACATTTGGATAATTCATGGACTTTGTAGGTAGTTACAGCTGCAGTATTGGAGAGTTGCCATTCCCGACGGCAATGCTAGAATACTAGCTGCTTCCTCTGGGTCGTGTGTGAAGTGTGTGAACAACCAGATAGCTATCAAACCAGATCTCTTAACGCTTCCCTAATTTGCTGTGGTGTGGACCCAACACGAGCTAGCAGCTTTGTGTACATAACCAAATCAAACCTGTTTCCTCATGCAGGGCAAGAATGTAGTTGAAATCAGGTGGTCATTTTATTTAGTAGTCTTAACTGATTCATTTCCATGCTAGGCGACCAAAATACGTATCTGTTGGTGCGTGCCATGGGCAATACAAATCAGAGAATAAGGATATGTACATTCAGGAGTAGGTGTAAAATTTACTCTGCCTACCCAGGAGCCCCACCGGGGTGTATTGAATATTTCTAAGTTGAATGTTCTCATTTAAAGAAAAACAGTAAAATGAGACAGAATCTTTACCAAATAGGCTACCAATTTAATATTTGCTATACGTTACTTTTAGTAAGAAACTTAATTGCAAAAATAACTTCATCTGCGGTAGAGTGAAATTATACATTTACTTAAAGAAATGTAATAGAAGATGTGGAATTTACAGAAAATTACTTTTGCAGTGACTTTTTTTCCTAAACATTTTTATACTAGTAGAGATCAACAATAGATTAGTTGAAAATGCTGTCTTACCCAGAGACTTTTGTAGTTAAGGGGAACTTCTCTATGGTCCCAGTCCTGCAACTGGATTCTCAAGGCTGATTTTATGCCTACATGGATCATGCTGGTCGCTGGGCTCTATTTCCAGGATCCTTGGCCCCAGTCCTTACAGACTTTCCTATTAGTGAAATAATTGTTGTTTAGGGCAGTGAAGGCCCAGCTCCTTGGAAGTCTTTATGTGCCTAAATGCCATCTGTAGACACGTCTCTGTGCTTTTCTAATGAATGTGTAGTTACCTTCTGAGGAGCCAGGTCTCCTCCCCAGATCTTCAGATGACCTTGACTGTGGACCCGAGGGGCCCTGCTGAACCGGCAGCACTGCAGGGGAGCGGGACTGGGGCCCCCCTGCCTGTTTGATGGCAGCCTGTGTTGGCTGGCACCTAGTCAAATAGTTGTGCTGGTGGCAGGGAAGCGTTTGACAGCAGGAGGTGATCCTGGATACAGGGGTTTGTTACTGACAGCAAACAGCAGGTACAGGCTGAACCCCGAGGCGGGAGCTCTGTACTCATAAGTGCCTAGGGGTAAACTTCGGTTTTGTTTGAAGTCCCTTAGAAGGCAGAAAATCTGTTTACACCTTTGCATATTTGTATAGATATAATGGTGGGTTTGTGCGTATCCTTCTGTATAAGGGCTGTACTACAAAAGAATCTTACCATCAAAAAAAAAGAATCCTTCGTTTCTTCCCACAGTCAAGTTACTGTTCAGAGGATCTCATCCAATTCCTTTTGTCCTGTAGGAAGAAGTGTCTCTGTGATGTCCTTGTTGCAGTAGTACTCTTGTGTAAAGACACTGTGCTGTGAGATGGCATGCAGTATCCCCTTGAAATGGTGATTTTGCTCTGTATGTAAGGAATGGGGAATAATGAACCAAGGGTGTGACTGACAGGTTCGCTGAGGACATTGTTTATATGCATGTAACCTTTTATTATGTGCATAACTATGACTGTTTTGCTCATTAAGTAATTTTTGTTGTTCTTTCAATGCTTGTATACATGTACTCTAGGGAAAGGAGCTTTTGGACTAAGATTGTATACAGTGAATGTTTTATATGGTTTCTCTTCAGGGTAATTTACTACATCTTGTCTTTCGTAGAAGTTTTTAATTTTTAAAAACCTGGAAAAACAGCCCTCCTAATGGAGTTAGGTTGACTGAAAATGAAAAATAATGTATTACATGGAAGATGCCCCTCGCCTGTTTGGTTTCATACATTCCAGTGTATATAAGAATATGGACCGAATCATCTGTCCTAATTTTGTGCTATTGCTATACTAGCTCCCTGTTGTTTGCAGGAAACGAAAGAGGAGTTAAGGAAAAAAGGGGAACTGGGATAGAGTCAGACATAAAGAGTGGCAAATGGAATGTGGTGAAGTGATGCATATATGTGTCAAAAGAAATCTGATCATAAATGTGTGCCAAAAGTGAGGAGGGAGTGGATGAACAGTCCTTGCATTGTGTTCTTCCTTTCATCCAGATGGAGTTTCAAGACCAAAGAAGCACCAAGCATTCAAAGGATTTCCCTAGTTAAAAAAAAAGAAGTTTAATTTTTTTAAAAAAAGGACATTGTTGTTTATATGGTAAAAATTGATAGTTATTTATATTGGTATATATGATGACTATTCTTGATAGAACTGAAAGCACCTTTATGCATGTGTGTAAGACTGTATGAAGGAATTATGTTCCTTAAAGCTGTGTTAAGCAACAAATTATGTAATTCCTGTTGTTTAGTGTAACATATTGGAAGCTTTTTACGTAACCTCTGTTTTTTAAAGGATGGGCTCTTCAGTAGTGACTGTTTCACACCCACGAAATGCATAAATGTTTGAACTACTGTGTACAGAGAGGAAACTCTACGTATAGGAAAATCTTGGAGAACCCTGTTTGCACTGAAAAATCATCACATTGAAACTGTCCATATAAAAAGGAAAAATCATTTTTCTTAAAGACTCCATATTAAATTAATCCAATGGAAAGCACTTTGCTATTCTTTCTAATAAAAAGTATTGCTATCAATGAGGACCGTGAATTGTGGTGCTTTGTTCAAGGTTACTTGACTCCTTTCAAAATTTTGTGGTAGGCCCAGATGAAATAGGGCAGCATTCAGATATCCACTGCAACTTGCAGCTAGCAGGGATATAATTGCAGTTCAAAAGCTGAATAAACTGCAACAGGTCTCTATGATTGAGTGTGCAGCAAGTTATGCTGAATTAAAACAAAAAAAAAAAAAAAAAAAAAAGAGTAGTAGAGCTAGATGTTAACAAATAATGGCAACACCATGGTGTAAAGTAGCTTTTATTTCACAGCATATCTATTTTGCATCCAGAGCAGCGTCTGAAGGAACCAGATGTGATCAGGGGTATACAAAATCCTTTAAAGTAACAATTGCAGTGCCACGGAAAGGTTTGAGAAATTTTTTTTTTTTTTAAATGTGCATAGAACAACATATGGTTCAAAACAAATCCACTTCAAACTGTTCTTATTTTTCTGCAGGTCAGAAGGATGTTCATTCTGCCAGATCCAACAGACACTTACTTCAATGTATCTGTTGCTCAGGATGCACAGTGAGTTAAGCAGTATGGGTTTTCTAAAACTAGCAAAGTATCTTGGTCAGACCTTTTATAGGATGCATGCAAATTCAAGAACAACCTGGCTTTGACTGATTCTTTCTATCCTGGGCTTTACTCTAAGTTTTGGAAGTTTTTTTCTTAGCCTCTCCCCCCTGCCAGAACAGCTTCATCTGCTTTTTACTTTCCTCCTTTCACTCTGTAGCATTGTCTTCTCTAGGACTGTTTACTTAAAAGAGCCAAGGGTTCAGGCTTTTTCATCATTCACTCATCTTAAAAGCTACCTAGACAGAAAATCTATTTTCAGTTGGATATTTTGTTTGTTTTACTGTGTGCTTGCTTAGCACCAGAAAGGAGGAAATTAGAGAGGATTTTTAAAAATGTGCATATGCTGGGTAGTCATTTCTTTTTTAAGGTGCTTATCTGTTGTTTTAGATGATGGTTACCAAACTGATTTGCAGTCACCAAAGGTCCAAGAGAGTGTTGCAAACGTGTAGGGTGAAGAACTGTTGGTAGATTGGTATCAGGATTTTGAGAATAGATGGGTCAAGCAGCATGTGGCTTTGGGTTGTTTCAAGCTTATACAGGCAGGTGGACAGCTAACTTCCCTTAACTCCTGCCAATACCTCAGTTTCTTCTGAGAATGTCTCCAAATGCATATGAAATCATCCATATTCCTTCTGCACTCACTCTGAAGAAACTGAGCTTTCATCAGCTCTGTTTTACACAGTAGCCAAAAGGGAATGAGAACAGGAAAGGGGAATTGGATTTACCAATAGTGTTTTTAACTTATGTGCAAGCTTGTGGTCTTTTCAAATTTTAGCCTTGTACTATCCAGATAATGTTCTTATGTCTTTGTATGCAGTTGTCAGAAGTCTTTATATCAGCCCCAGCCTGTATATATTTTCCAATTAACAGAGAAGTGAAGCAGCTGAGATGAAATTCTTTGTGGGAAAGCATGTATTATTGAAAACAACACCCTACCACCAAGTGGCCGGAGGGGTGTGACTGGGTAAAGCCCTTGTGATGAAAAGGCTGCTCTTGGTGCAGCCTCAGGTGAACCAGCTCCTTCCCAGGGCACAGCAGGGGCCCAGGGTGCTGGGGAAAACACCTTGGCCAGCCCCGGGCTTCACTGAAATAGCAGGAGTCTGAGTGGCATGGAAGGGGAAGGACTGTTACACCACAGTCCAAGGTATTTGGTTGGGTGGTGTTTGAGACAGAGTCGTTATGGAGTGCAGTGTCTAGGTTTTATGTTCATTAAATGTAAGTTAATTAAGCCCAATTGCTTCTTGGCTTGCCCTGGCGCATCACCTCGTGTCCAGAATGGATGTTGCTTGCAGCAAATGTTTCTGCTTCTGGAACCTGTCTCTGTGTGTCTGGGCATATTTTAGATGTACCACTTACTTTTAATTGCATTTTAAAGCATTACAAGGGAAAAGGGCTCATATTCCAGGCCTCATTTGGGTGACAATTTAATTAATATATGTGAGAAGGGAGCTAAATTAGTCACTGGCAAACTATTGAGGGCTTCCTTGTAGAGGAAAAAGCTGCTTACTGATGTGTGGGTGATGAAGGTACAAGGGATGTGTTGCACACTGTCCAGAATGGGTGGTGGAAAGTGACCATTTTTCTGTCCTAATTCACAAAAAATTTATGTGTTTTCTAATGTAGCAATCTTCCTCAAGTTAGCTGGAACATACGTCCCAGGTACAAGGAGTCTGTAGCAGGGAGATGAATTATTAGGTAAGGAAAATCCTTTGGCAACCAAGATCCTGTTCTCTAAAGTATCTGGCACTGAGAAGTCTCTTGACTTGAATGGGGTTTGAGTTCTTGTCGTGGTTTGAACCCAGCTGGCAGCCAAACACCATGTAGCCGCTCACTCACCTCCCCCCGCCCCGGGGCGTGGGGGAGGGATTTGCAGGGGTAAAGGGAGACTCATAGGTTGGGATAAACTGAATTTAATAATTGTAATAAAATAAAATAATAACAATAATAGAAAGTACAGATGGGCAATGCACAATGTGATTGGTCACCACCCGCTAACTGATACCCAGCCTGTTTCTCTCTAGCGATCCCAAAATACCAAGATCCTGCAATTGCAATCCCATAAGCAAGAGAGAACCCCCTCCTTCCCAGCCACCCCTCCTTTATGTACTGAGCATGACGCTCCATGATATGGAATATTTCACTGGCCAATTTGGGCCTGGTGCTCTGGCCGTGCTCCCTCCCAACTGCTTGTGTACCTGCGCACGGGCAGGACACGGGGAGTTGGAAAGTCCTTGATCTCCCAGCAACAGCTGAAAATATCAGTGTGTTATCAGCATTCTTCTCATACCAAATCCCATACAGAATCCAAAGCACAGCACTATTCTAGCTACTAAGAAGAAAAAATAACTCTATCCCAGCTAAAACCAGGACAGTTCTTAAGTACTTTGGCTTGTTAATTCCTTATCTTGAACATTTTACCTGGTTATCCTTTTAAATCATTCTTTCACTCTTGTTCCTTCTAAAAGCTGTTAATACCAGTCCAAAATGCCTGAAACTCCTCTGTCAATAGCTGTTACCAGTGGGGCTGAAGATAGCCCACGCATGGCAGGTCACAGGGGGAGACTGGCATGTCCTTAGTGCTACCTGGCTGGTGTCACAAAGCCTTAAAGCAGGTCTCCAGCATTTCCTTTGCTGTCACTGTCTGTATTCATGCATCCCTCTAGGCTGACATTCGCCAAGTACCGAATTTCCTCAGGAATTTCAGTCCTCTGAGCTTGGGACTTGCTGAACAGATTCTGCCTCTTTCAGCACAGCTGGGCACCCACATAACTGTCTTTTGTTTCTGGGTAAGAGTGGAAATACACTCCAGCACACTGTGGTCATGTCCTCATCCTCATAAGATTAGGAAAAGCGTGATGATGCAGTTTTCCTGAGAGAACAAACATCTCTATGCCTTTAAGCTTGCTTCAGTAACTCTGTGAATCTTCCTGTTGCAGAGAGGAAAAAAAAATAAGTCTGGAGTCTATTGCACATTTATGATGCTTAGCAGATAAGAGAACCAAAGGCATGCAAGTGCTTGAATAAAAATTTTTTTCATTTTGATCCCTAGTTTCTTCATTCCATCAGTGATTAGAGAGATAAGAAAGTATTTGGCTGAGCTCTGTTAGCAATGGAGTTAACTTGGCTCTCAGTTAATAAATTTGTATCCCAAGGTCTTCAGCAGGTACGTAGAAATTGCTGTATTTTTTAGCTTTCCTTCACAGTCTCTATTTTCTTCTTGTTCCGATGCATTAGCCTAGCTTTTTTTTTTTTTTTTTTTTTTTTAAAAAAAAAAAAAAGTGAGAGTCTGTTCCTTGCTGTGCATATACATCAGTGAAGATGGGACTGTTGGACAGTTTACTGTTTTGGCCCTGCATTCAGCATGGGTTTTGCCATTGTTGAGACCTGCCCGTCTTGTCAGCTGGGCTTTACCAGCTGCAGGGATTGCTGTGCTAAGAGGCAAGTAGGTTTTAAAGTACAGTTAAGGCTTGAGATTAATAGAATTTACTTGTGCAGTGGTGGCTATGCTGCAGTTTCCTAGGAGACTAAGCTATGTGTTGTAATGACAGTGTTTTGCAAGGAACTCCTAGAAAATAAGCTAAAGACACTGTAAAAAGGATTCAGGTCTTCATGAGTATCTCTGCCATTAATGCTCTGTTCTCCTGTTACCAAAAAAAAAAAAAATTAAAAATTCAATGCATTTTTAAATCCTCCACTTAGACTTTGAGACTGGTAGAACAGATATTTTTGACACTACCCTTCTTCTATCTTTTCTGAAAGCTTCCTGATTGCCACTTTTATTTTTTTCCCTCCAAATCCCTGTGTAATAGCAACAGTAGAGGAAAAAAGGCATAGCTATTCCCAGAGAGAAAGCACTTGCTTCTGTGTAGTAGTAGTGAGGCTGCTTTTTCCTTCGTAAGTGCTTCAGAGATCTCCTGGGGACACTCAGAAACCTTTTAACTTGGAATCAGCTCTGCTTCTGTATCATTATATATGTTGTTTCTTTGGAACTGGCTCTGCTTCTGTATTGTTATATATGTTGTTTCTTTTTACTTGTTTTGATGAGTTATATTTAAGAGCAGTTTTCTGGCTGAGCTTATTTGGGCCTGCTGCTGCAACCTAAATAACCCCCACTGTAGGAGTCCCTAAAGGCAGAATTTGTCCTGCATGCCTGATTGTGCTGTTTTTGGACAAAGTCCCTGGGGCCAAATTAAAATCATAGTGGAAGGAGCATATCCCCCACCCTGGCACAGCTCTTGGTCCCATCCCCTTACCCTCCTTCAAGAATCCATCCAGAACCCCCTCTCTGCAAAATCATCGTGAAGATTCAAAGAGGGGTTTCAGCCTGCGACAACCTTCTCTGTATAACACAGAGTCATGAAGAAGCATGTCAGAGTTAAGATGTTGTAACTGTCATGGAATCTGATGAGAAGCAAAGATTTTTTTGGTTTCCTGTGAAACAACAAATTAGTGAAATCTTTCATTCCCTCCGCTTTCAGCACTGTTAATTTATTTGCTATATGCCTGGTGTGTTTTTTTTTTTTTCTTGTTTGCATTCAATGAACTTCAGAGTTAATTTTTATCTTCTGACTAGTGTTGAGCTGTGTGACATTTTCCATCTTGACGTTTTTGCACTGTTTTTATTCAATCCCGTTGTCGCTCCTTCTGAAAGCTTGTTAGCTGCTGCTGTTGGCGGGGGATAGAGGGTGGCAGTCCTGCCCTTCCTGGTCCTGCCCAGAAAAATGTCCTTGTGTCGCCTCTGTGTCTGCCTGGGATCCAAGGTGAGGCGGGTTGGAGGCAAACCTGTGTTGGGACCGTTCCGTGAGAGCCCTGTTTCAAAGGCTGAATGTGCTTCGTGACAGAAGTCACCTGCATCTCCAGTGACCTTAAACAGGGGAGTCACACGCTGCCTCTCCTCTGTCTCTGTGCCAGCGACTGGGCAAGGATAATTTTGGCTCTTTATGGGATTGTAAAGCTTTTGCCTAGATTTCTGACTGATGTTTTAGGAGGAATCCTTTGCCAAGTGCGTAGTTGCACGGACTAAAATAGAACAGACTTTGAACTTTAAAAACAAATTAAGCATAGGCTCCTGCCTTTCTCCTTTGGGGCTTTTTATAGGGAATACGTAGAATAGTTTCTTTCTCAAATAAATAACATTTGAACTATTCTTTTGTAAAATGAAAATGCAAGGAGTCATTAAATAACACTTCTTATTGTACCCCACAGGACATCCTGGGGTTTTCATATGCCTTAGTGTTGCCCGAGGAGCCGAGCGACAGCCGCTTGCTGGCGGTGGCTGTTTGGCAGCCAGCGTGTGATGCCAGCCCAGCGCCTGTGGGCATCTTCTCCCCGTTTCTGAATCAACATTGTGTCACGGCTGACCTCTGAAAAGCATTTCCTTTTGATGAGGAGACATGGCGCTTACTGTATCGAAGCTGTACACAGACACGAGAGTCCATGCCATCATTACTGTAAAAAGCACTGAAGCGCTCCACTGCAAAATTTAACAGTTAATCGTGCCGTACATTGGGGCGATTATCTTTGTTCTTCTCTTCCTGCTTCAATGATTTTATTAACAGCAAAAATTTTCAAAACCATTCCAGTGTTGCAGTTCACAGATGTGTAATATCTGTTACCCTCCCATCTGGACAATGAGCTGTCACAGGCAAAAAATTTATTAAACCTTGGATTTGTTTCTTTTAGGAGCGTCTGCTTCATATTCTGCTAGTAGTAATATACACATGAATAGAAACTATTGTATTATCTAGAAGGCTGACACTACAAATCCCAGTTTGAAATGTCTTCACAGAGGATTTTTAAAAAGATGCTGTCCGCAATATCTTAATTTATGTAGGATCTTATTTCTTGAAACATAAGTCCTTTATCTTATGTATCTGGGAAGTGGCCTCCTCCTTCCTTGAGCTGTGCGTGACATTTCCCTGGCTCCCATTCTGGTCCCCAGCCCAGCTGTAAGTATGGGGTCATTCACTTCTCTCTTTATCATAGTCACCCAGAACTGTTCTTGAAAAGTGTCTTGCAGATACGAAACAAAAGCTCGTGTGAAGATGGGAATGAATTATCAGATGACTTTAAGGATCACAGAGGGGTGTTCGGCAGTTAAAGGCAGCAACATCAGAAAGCCAGTAGGTTCAACTCAGACAAGCATGTTATTTGTCAGTTTAGAACAACATCAGCTGTAGATGACTTAAAATAGGACTGGACTGACGAATGAGTTCTGGGTGGCCTGAAAAGCTATTGGTTGTGTAACTAAAAAGAGCTTGTGTTTGGTTTGTGTTTGTAAGCTGTGTTGTGTATGGTCTCTCAAAAGATCTCCAGCTCTTCTCAGTAGTGTACAGCTTGGACATGGGCAAGCCAAACTGCAAATTTGGCCTGGTACCGAGAGAAGTCTTTTATAGTGCCTCTCTGCATCAGTTCAATCACTATTTTCTCAAAAAATTAACTACTTGAGAACATTTTTTGAATACTTTTGGACTCTTAACATGCTAAAGCATGTTCCTGCTCAGTCTCAGAAAAGCTCCCTGCTTGTTTGTGGTATGTACAAAGCAGGAACCAAGCCCTGCAGTAGCATTAACTTGTGCTGGATGCAGTGTGTCAGAAAAGGAATTTAAACTATTTATGTGCCTTATGGCTGACTTTTGAGTTTCTCTTCGGCAAGCTCAGCTTTTTTGAGCCTGGTGCAATCATAATGGAGCTTTGATACTTCCACATATGAGTCTTCTCCTTTAAGAAAAAAAATAAAAATAGCGTTAAGCCTTTTCCTGTATTTGGCTTTTCCAGGAAGTTTAGCACATTTGTATCTTTTGCTTGCATTTCCTATTGCGTTGCCTTTTTGAACACTGAAATTGTTGAACTGATCGCCTGAAGCCCAGACTCCTTAGAGTTTAGCAGGAAGCTGCTCTGCTTTTCTAAGATTGCTTACTTGAGACTTCCCACGTGCATGCTCTTTGTGCTGTTTCCATAATAGAAAACTTTTCCTTATTCACAGAACTAGATAAAATATAATGTGAATTTATTTCTTAGAGCCATATATTTTTGATAACTGATATCATAGCTAGGAAAAACGTGGCAGATCTACCCAACCTGTAAATCAATAAAGTATTTATACAATATGAGAAGAAAAGTGTAATGACTCAAACTGAGACAAGGGAAACAGAAAAGCTGTCAGACTGGAAGAAGTTTTACCAGAGAATTCTTCACATTGAGGTCGGTATACCTATGCTGTTTATATTTGCAGTAGTGATGGTAGCACAAGAATTAGGCATATAATAAACTTACAGAAGCAGTAAGAAGGATTATGCAAGAATGTCTCCTAGTTAACACTTGGAGTTAAAAAAAACAAGATGGGGTGGGAAGTAAATGTCATTGTATTTTGTGCAAGGTTCTGAATTTGTAAGAAAGCACTGTAAGAGCTCATCTGTTCAAAGTGATGAAGGAGGATTGCTGGAGTTTTAGCTGAACACAGGATAAACAGGAGCCAAGAATAAGATGTGGCTGTCAGAAAATGCAATCCTAGGAAGTTTTGGACAATATTTTTTTACTATAGACACATAACAAGCAATGGCATTGCACTGAATTTTGTTAATTCTTATATATATATATGTATATAAAATAACAAACTCAATCTGGTATAGAGGAGATTTTGTTAAAGTGGAAATCTTGTGGAAGCTGGCTTGTTTGTAATTGTTAAAAGAAGTCATAGGGCAAAGCATAGGGGGGAGAACTAAGTGAAAGGGTGATGTTGGCTGAAGGGTAATTAGGTAAAAACTGTTGGTCCAGATATTAGGAAAAATTGCAAACCCTCATTGGAGTAAGATTCTGAAGCATTAACATTAGTGAGGATAGGAACTGGAAATGGCTTTTAGGATAAAGCTTGAGTGTTCCCCAAAGAGATGCTACAGGATGGTTGCCTGCAAGAGGGGAAGGCTGGACTGACTGAAACAGGCTTCTTCCAATTCTCTGGTACAACTACAACTGAACGCTGAGCTGGGTTTCACTTGCGCTCTTCTAGAGACGTCAGTGCAGGGGGGGCATGTGAAGTAGCCCGCAGAGATTGCCTTTTGGCTCATTTCCCCATCCCAGTTGTCAACACATTGCAGTACTGTGTGTCATGCAAGGAGATTATCTAACCTCATCGGCGCTCTGACTTTCGCTGGTTTAACTGAAAGATTAATTTCTGAGATAACACTGTTTATAATTTGCTTAATACTGTTCTCTGCTTCAGAATATCTGATTTATCCGGCTTGGAGGCAGGAGTGATATTTCCTATTGAACAACCAAGCTGATATGATCTGTGTTAACATCATTGCAGTGCAAGAAAGGAGTTAAATGATTAGGCTCTTAAGTTATTGCTAAATTCTGCTTGCTTGCTTTTGGTTTGCTTAATAAAGTGTATGTTGTACCAATGTGCCCCAGCATCCTGGGCTGGACATTCAATTACTTCTGACAATAAAAGCTGATAATCTCATGGCCAGTGATGTGAGCAACACTTCCCTTTTCAGTTTAACAGAAATTGCTCAACAGTTACAGCACCTTCCTCCCCTTTCACGTGCAGTTCAGCAGCACACACATGCCTGGGCAGAAACAGCATTTCGTGAGAGCCATGGCATAAGGGAAACCTTGTCAGCTCTAGCTGACCATTCAGATCTAATCCAAGTCACCAGGAAAACAGCAACTGCTGTTACCTCAGGGCTTACTGTAGGGCTTCTGCAGTTGGACTACATGATTCAAACCCAGTTCCTAGTCAGTAAAAGCATAATCCACAAAGGAACTCTCACAGGTGCCATTATTTGATGTACTTCAGTGAGCCAAAAAATACAGGCTTAGCAAAACATAGAGTCTGAATTCAGCTTTCAAGGAGGGGTAACCCAAAGGCTAGAACTTTGGGTACTTTGATTAATTCCTCCTTACCTCTGTTGAAGGAGAAAGGCTTGACTTTACTGCCCCTTTTGTAAAGGTGGAAGGAAGAGTGGCATATGTAAAATAAATCATTTAGGGAAATCTCAAAGCTAAGTGGGATGACATTCTGAGGCCAGCAAAGTTTATGCTGCTTCAGCCTGCATCTAAGTTTTCCATGTCTGTGATGTGCTCCTCAAAGCGCAAAGTTCTCTGGAAAACATACAGCAGGAATGCAGACCTGTATTCCAAGATTGTTAGTAGGTGTGGTTATGCATGCTCTCTTTAAAAACAAGTATGTACCTTCTTCGTGGCTGAAGAGAACACACTTAAAAGATGTAATTTAAGAAATTCGCTTCCAAATAACTTATTAGACATGCAACGCTATGTCAATATAGGCAATGTTATTGCAGGGTGATCAGTGATCTCCCACGGGGCAAAGTCCACTACCACAGAGGCTGTTCATGAAGGCAGCACACATTATTTACTTTCCATTAGTACCTGCAAACCATTATGCATCTGATGCTATAAAATCCTGCTGTAAGAAATCATATCTGTTTCTGAAGGCTTATATGTAAGGAAATGAAAAAAGACAGAGGGTTGAAAACAGTATTTTGCTTGTGGAGATACAGAGTGGTCATAGTCAGGAACTCAGAGGAGTCTACCGGAGAGCTGGGAACAGAGCATCTCCCTCCCGACTCCCAGTTTACTGCTTCACCATGTTAGTATCCCACTCCCACTTTTGCTGGAGGCCCACACTTCAGAAGCTCATTTCTGAATCTGTGAAAATGTAGGTAACCAGCCTGAACTCAGCAGAGTAATAAATTATTGGTCTCCGTTCCAGTAAGAATAAATGTTTCTACTGAAATAAAAGAATAAATTATGACAGAGGGTGTGATATGAAGTGAAAAGAAGTTGGCCACAACAGATTGAAGAAACAGGTAAACCTTTACTACCTTTCATTTGTCACAGCTTAGCGTTCTGATTTAAAAAATCTTCAGAACTGCGGCTGCAGCACTGTGAGCTGTGCTGTATTACCTTTTCGGGGAGTCCAGATGCTGTGATGGAAATAGCATAGATAGCTTTCCAGGAGCTTGAGGACTTCACCTGATTTGACTGTATGTTTGTATAAATGCGAAACTAAATGACATCATCTATGTGAATCTAATCATATCTGTTGTCACTGCTGTATCTCGGGGAATGCTATGAGAAACACAATGTACCAAGTATGGCTGGGAGGATTTCTTGTCTTCAAAGTGAAACAGCTATACCAGACACACACACAAATTTGCATTTCTATGGCTGTTGTGAAATGAGACAGATGTTGCCAAGCTGTTTCTAACAATACTTATTTTCTTAGTGTTTGCTATTTACTAACTGGAGAAGGTGTTATAACAAGTATTTCTTGCTCCACCGGAAAATTTTTACCTCACTTAAAATTATTAATAAAAATCCTAGGCCTAAAGAACAACATATTTATCCTAGCCCCTGTTTCATATGGGTTGGGGTTTTTTTCCAAAACACACTTTTCCAGGAGGACTCTGTTGCCCAGTGATCCAGTCCCCTGGTAAATCAGTGCTTCTGGGAGGGAGGCAACCTACTGTTTAAAGCTGCAGCTTTTCAGCTGACAGAGGACTTAGGGCAGCGACCAGCAGGTCAAGCATCAGCGCTTAACCAGGGACGGACAGGGTAGCCCCAGCCACGCCAGGACCCCCCGTGACAGAGGGACCCACGCGGGGTGTGGGTTCCACCACGGGGTTTCACCCTCTCTGGCTTTGTTTCAGCTC